GTTGGCTACCATGTGTATCCCTGGATTTGGTCTGATCCCTGCCATACTACCTACTACTTGGTCCTCACCCCAGGAATGTTTGTGTAAGGTAGCTTTTTCCCTAGGCCCCTTTTGCATTTTTTTAATGGACTCATGCTGTACTTGTCCTTTTGTGCTTGACTTACTTCACTTAGCATGATTTCCTCCAGTTCTTCCCACCAGCACTTAATCTTATTGATGCTCCTTTGTAAGGGACATTTCCCTTTTCTCATGCTGTTCTCAAAAATCTTCATCTTTGTCCCTGATAATTTTCATTATTATATGTCTTGGGGTGCTTCTCTTTGGGTTTAACCTATATGTAATTCATTGATTATTTTGCATAATAATCTCATTTTTCATATTTGTGAAATTACTGTGGTTATTTTTTTCAAAAATATCTTCTGGACTTCATTTCCTCGCTTCTCTTTTTGGAATTCCTATTATGTGTATATTATTATTATTATTTTTATTATGTATATATTATTTCTCTTTGTGTTGTCCCACAGAACTCTTATGCCTTGTTCAATTTTTCCCACTTAGTCTTCAAGCAGTAATCTCAGAGTCTTTGTCTTCTAGTTAGTTCACTAATTCTTCCTTCCACTGTTTTGATTCTACTTCTGTATTCTTTGAAGGAGCTTTTCGTTTCTGTTATTTTATTATTAAACTTCAGGATTGCTAATTGCGTTTTATTAAGGTTTCTATCTATTAAATTTCTTGTTTTGATCTTCTATTGTTTTTCTGAATTCTTCAAAAAAAATTCCCATATTTTCCTTCATCTTAAAGAGAATCCTTAAGACTAGTTTTGGGGTTTCTTTCTCAAGAATTTCATAGCAATAAGTGCCTGAAATATTAAGTTTGTCTTTCATTGGTGCATAAACAGAAAACATAAACGTCCACTTCTCTGGAGATTCACACACTTCCATGTCTCTCACAGTTCCTTCGAAAGTTTGTTTTTGTCTTTCTGCTCATCGGTGCTAAGTAATTAGAATGTGTTCTGAGAGACTGCCTCCCTGCTGGTACTGCTGGCTGAGGCTCCACACTGAGAAAGAACTTAAGAATGGCTTCCCTTGATCTATGCTTCATTTCCACCCTCCCTTACACCCCGATACACTCACCCTATGGTGCAGATTTGGAGAAACTGGTTGGCTGGATGACACTGGAGTATCTCTGGTTTGGGGCATTCCATCCTCATTTGTTACTATTTCAGGGCTGTTGCTGAGGTTACTGCCCCAGGACCTCTGTTGTGAGGATGTTCATTCCAGCTCCTGTTTCCAAGGCAGCACTGGCCTTGAAGGAAGAATTGACAAATGGCCATGGACACAATTGGCCCACAGAGTGACCTTCCCTAAGCGCCTGGGACGGACCCAGTGCCCAGAAACCATAAAGAGGTTTTATGCAGCATATTTACCCAATGCAATATGCCATTTGATTTCTTGACTGCTGCTTCCATGAGGAATGGATTCAAGTAAAATCGAATCCTTGACCATATCGATCTATTTTCTATTTATTATATTATGTATTATTCCAGTTGAGTTTTAGTTTTTTTGAGTTGTAGTACATACTGGTGGCTGGAATACTTATAATTTTCATCAACAACTGCTTTAAATCCTCCTGGATTTCAGCAAAGTTGTGTCAGCTGCTTATTGCAGATTGTTAATAAACCTTTCTCCAACAATAATGCTACCTTCTAGTGCAACTTCTTTTAGTGCAACTGCTGTTGAATTTTTTTCAGCAAAATTTTCTGCACATGTGATATTAATATTGTTTGACAATTTCTGCATTCCTTTGGAAATGGGTTTATATATGAATCTCTTCTTTCCGGTTGTTCAGGTAGTTGTCTTCTAGATTTATTGGCATAGATATATGAGTGCTACTAGTTCTTCTTCAGCTTGGTGAAACATTTCTATTGGCACTCCATGAATTCCTGGAGGCTTGTTCTTGACTGGTGCCTTCAGTATAGCTTGGATTTTTAGCTTTAGTATTATTGGTTTTTGATCATATGCTACTTCTGGAATTGGTTGTGTGCTGACCAGTTCTTTATGGTACTATGATTCTGTGCCTTCCTTCCATCTTCTTTTGATGCTTCCTGAATTGTTTAATATTTTGGCTATAGACTCTTTCAATACTGCAACCCATGGATTGGCATTTTTCTTCAGTCAGTTCCTTAAGTTTGGTGTATGTTGAATGTGTTCTTCTTTTGGGACTTCTAACCATAGGATTTTGTACCTTTCATTATAATACTTTGCCTTACTGAGCTGTCCTTTGAAATTTTCTGTTCAGCTCTTTTACTTCTTCATTTCTTTTATTTATTTTAGATTCTCAAGTGTCAGAGTCTCTTTTGAAATCCACTTTGGCCTTACCTTTCTTCCTTGTCTTTTTTTTTTTAAGTCTTAGAACTTGGTTTCTAGTTTTAATTTGATTTGACTCATGTCAAAATGTGTGTATCACAACTTAGGTGTTATGTGACCAAAATCTGATGTCATCTATTCAGCAAAAACTGGTCCAGGAAAAGAGAAGATTTTGACTTTAATAGCTCTGTGATCTTCTAAAGAAAGTAAACAATTTTCAAAATAAAAAAACATGAATTTTAAATAAAATGCTTTATTAAAAGTAAGTAGTTACTTTTTATTAAAAAATTATTTATTTTCTTTCAACTTTTTATGGGCATTTATGGTCATATAGTTTACATATTATACAATTCAATAGTTCAATCAAATCAAGAAGAGTTGTACAATCATCACCACAATCAGTTTAGAATATTTGGTTCCTTCATGTACTCATTGTTATTAGTCCCCTATTTCCCCGCAACTTCCTCTGCCTTACCCCAAAGAAAACATTAATCCAGTTACTATCTCTATATATTTTCCTATCCTTGATTTAATATATACCAAGACACTTTAAAAACAAACAAACAAGCAAACACTAACAAGAATAATAAAGTAAAACATATAAAAACTTCAATTGAAAATAGAACAAAATATTAAAAACTAGAGAAAATTTTAATGGATTATAAAGGAGATCAAAAGACAGGGTGCTAAATTTTAACCTAAGTGTGGCTGCAGGAGTTTTTAAGCCATGTGCCTTTGAGAAAAAGTGATGGAAATCCCTCTGGTAGACATTAGAAGGCTGTATCAGTGGACTGTGTCTGTGGAGGTAAGCAACCCATTTGCTCACTGGAACTGATATTTATTGTTTCACAGTTCTAGAGAGTAGACATCTAAATTCAGGGTGTTGACTGGGCCATGTTGTCTTTGAATACCATAAAGGAGAATTCTTCCTGGTCTCTTTGATTCTGGTAGCTCCAGGTTTCTTAGGGTTGAGATCCATTTTCAAATGGCCTTGCTTCTTTTGTGTCTCTCTCCTCTTCTATACGAAAACCACTCAGAGAGGATAAGTACTCACCCTCTTGTGGTCTGACCTCATGTCAACTAATAACTTCTTCAAAGACCTCATTCTCCAGCAAAATCACATTCACATGTACCTGACATAAATATTTAGGATTTTCAATGCAGTCTGTAACAGAAGGTTATAGGATAATGGGAAGGATGTAGTAGTAGAGTTTGGGTGTCAACCAGAGAAATCGGAATGCATCCCTTTTTAAAAAAAATACCATGTGTGTTTTATAATCTCTGTATTTTAATTAAGATTTGATTTTTGCTGCTTTTCTGTATAAAGGAAAATCAAAGTTACTTTTATGTTCTTCTGACTTGAAAAGGGTTACAACTCTTTATACAGGATTATGAGTTCAGACTTAAACCACAAGTCCGGTAACACCTGTGCACCATGCTGGCCTGGTGTCACTCCTGCTGAGGCGTAGCCATTGCTGCTTCGGGGAAGTAGGAATATATCCAACACAGAAACGCAGTTTCCTAACCAGCCTCTTCTTGGTGTCTCTTCCTTTTCCCCAGTTGTTGCTCAACATTTATAGTGATTCTCAGAGTCTAGAAGGACTTGTCTCAGGAAATGAGCTTCACTCTCTTCTGATTGCCACGACCTGTCTTCGGGAACAGAGCTGCTGCTTTTGGAAAGAGCCTACCTTCTGTGTGTTAAGGGAGATCTCCAAAACCCAGAACCTCAGCGTCATCAAGTACCTGCAGGGTATGTCCAAAGGAGACTGGGTGTGGGCTGAACTCTCGGGGAAAGAATGAGCTCACTTTCTGTGAAACTCTGGAATTGTCTCACAGTACCAGTGGAGAGTTTTTTCTGGGACTAGAAGAGAAATGAATGAATAGGGTGCCCTGTTTATTCTGATGTCCAATTATATCCTGTAGACAACCCTACACTGCATGTTCCTTCCATTAAAAAGGAGTTTATTGTCTATCTCTTCATTGGAAGAGGGAAGGGAAGGGAAAATTCACTTATTGAATGGCTACTACAAAATAGGGTGGTGGGCCCATTTCTTAGTTTATTGCTTTCTTTGAGATGCATACTAGTGCCATTTTTCAACAGAGAAATATGAGATTAGGAGTAGTGGAGTAGCATATAGATTTCTGATCCAGGTGCCTCAGGTTTTACTCAGGGACAACATAGGCAGCACTTAAAGCCATGTTCTCTGCATCATCCTGGGTGTGGGCTCAGCTCTGCTCTGCATAGCTGAGTGGCCTTGGACATTTAATTTCCTATCCTTTCATCTATCAAGTCAGAGTAATAATATTGATGATCTGATTGGATTGTTGGGATGATTAAATGCTTTGGCGATGCTTGGTACATGGTAACTGCCCATAGGTGTTAGTATTATCCTGACTTAGATTTGGCCATAGGCAAGACACTTAGAAATTCAGTTCTGTTAGCAATACCAGGGACTACCCTTCCCATCATCTGCCTTCGCAGGGCCTCAGGTAATGCTGAGAATTATGGAGACTGTTGAAGATCATAGAATCTCAAGAATAAATATTGACATCCTCTCAGCTGTTGGCCCAGTGTAGGGTAGGCAAGGATGTTTGGCAGGCTTGTTGCATCCCATAACTCTGTAACATTTCTCTGGCTCCACTAGTTCATATTTCACTTGAGAATACAGCAATTTGTGCCTTGTGCTAACTAGTTGATCTCTTTTGGGGATCCAAAGCTGTTACTGTGACTTGTTTGTCTAGAGGCATTCAGTGGTTTTCCCTTTCCTGGGCCCTCCTCTGAAAGAGAATAAAATGACTCTCCTATAACTGGTCTCACCCTAGGAAGAGTTGTGGGCCACACATCTCAGGGCATAAAGCAGTTGGTGAAGCCAGGCCCTCATTGCAAAGTCTTCTTTTTTGCACCTAATGACCTAACAGGCCTGTATGTGCCTGCATTCCAGGGATTCAGGGTAGAGGACTAAGTCACGTCCTTCCTTTTTCCTATATCTCCTGTTGTCACCTCTGCCTGTGGAGTGTCATGGGGGAACCTACTTTTTCTGATTCAAAAGTCAACAGAAAATGGTTTGGATCCATTCTCATTCAAATCCTGGCATGAGGTTTAAATGGAACCGAGGAGAAAGCTGTTCTCTGTGATAGTTTCACTGACGGATTATGCACAGTTCTTCTCTGACACTCATGGTCACAACTAATTTAACTGACATTAATTTCAATTTTGGAAGTGAGTGCTACGGCTTCAGAGCTGAATGGCTGTTTTTTGTTGTTGTTTTTTGTCCTCTGGCAGCCATGGATTGTATTAAGATTTCACTCCAGAATCTCTCCAAACTTGTGGACACGTTCCCAATTTCAGAAGTGAGCGAGGCTCTCAATCTCATCTTGGGTTTCGTGAAGGATTCCTACCCCATCTCTTCAGTTTTGTTCCTGGAGTTTGAGAATGCCGAAGGTTACCCTCTGCTGCTCAAAGTGCTGCTTCGGTAAGTGAATATGCTTTCAAAAACTACAAACCGAACTCAATGCCATGGGGTTGGTATCAACTCATTGACCCTATAGGACAAGCTAAAACTGCCTCCGGGGGTTTCTGAGATAGCAGTTCTTTATGGGAATAGAAACCTCATCTTTCTCCCAAGGAACAGCTGGTAGGTTCACACTGCTGATGTTGGGTTTAGCAAACCCAACTGCTTCACCAGGAATTATGGTTCATAGGGGAGAAAACAAAGTTATTAGCTGTGTTAGACCAGGTTGACTAGAGAAACAAATCCAGAGACACTCATATTTGTGTAAGAGAGAACTTTGTATTAAGAAGTAATTATTCATCAATAAAGCATTCCAGCCCAGAGCAGATTAAGTTTATAGTTCAATATTAGCCCACGAGTCAGTCTGATATTAGTTCATTAATTCCTCTTCAGACTCACACAGCACATGCAATGATGTCAAATGCAGGAAGATCACCAGCTGGTGGGTGGAAAGCCCTGTGGATCCAATGGCAGTGTAAGCATCTCCAGGGCTCTGGCTGCCATTAGCATGGCTCCATATGGCTCCTCAACAGGAAGGTGAAGCAAAGAGTGAGTCCCGCCTCCAAGGAGGAAGAGAGGGAGTTCCCAGAATCTCCATGATTAAGCCACCCATGCCCACAAGAAAATATCGTGAGGCTGACAGACTAGACTCCACCCTTCATTCTTTTATCAAGTTGACATGAAATTGTGTAACTACCACATCAGAACATAGACTTTTAAGCATTGAGGGGCTTTGGAAGAAAACAGATAATAATCTGTCTCAGCATGTCTTATAAAATATATATCTCCGTAGGGGGTGACCTGGGAAATTTCTAGTTGCTAATGTAATTCATTGTAAGACATAGCTGTGATAACTGTGCTGAATGTTCCTATGATAGTGAACACAGTTTTAGAGGAGTCTGTAAATACATATGATAGTTATTCTTCAAAAAATTTAGCCATTGAATAACCAATGGATCATGATAATCTTATCTGTAACTAATCATGAGAATGGTGTTCTGTTCTATTGAATATGAAACTTCCTATGACTAAGGGCCAGTGATTTGATACTCACCCTCACTGAGTTGGTTCCAACTCATAGAGACCCTATAGGACAGGGTAGAACTTCCCCAGGGTTTCTGAGATTGTAACTCTTTATGGCGATTGAAAGCCTTGTCTTTTTCCCTCACAGCAGCTGGTGGGTTTGAACTGCTAACCTTGTGGTTAACAGCCCAATGCAACACAATACTACCAACAGCTATCAAATAACAATGTCCAACCAGATTTTCTGGATAATCAGTTTTTCACTGAAGCATGGTGGTAATTTTACAAATTCCAGTTGGAACGCTATACAAATCCCCTTGGCATGTTCCATCTCCATGATGAACCAACTTGACTTCCATCTGTAAGAACCCACATCCATCTGTGTATGGCATTGCTCTAACCTGCTCTGCTCCGTTCTGCTTGGTGGGGGCTGGAGGGGACAAGAAAGTAACAACCCATAGAAGAGTCCTTCACCCAATACTGACAGGACAACATGGACAAATACCCAGTAAATTTTCCCTTGAGTAGGATAGCTTTACGCTATCTCCTAGAGTTCCCCAGAAGAATTATGCTACAGTTAAGTTTAAGTGACATGATACTTCTGCTGAACCTGGATTCTGTGAGTTACTACCTCTACCTTAATTTACCATGCCATCCTCAGTGTGGGTCCTTGGGTTAGAGAGAGCCCAGGGACAGAAAGCAGATAAACTCCTTGGTGATAACTCATCTTATAGAAGCTTCTTAAAGATCCAGCCACATGTGCTCCCTTGGGCCTGGCTCTTTGACTATGAAAAACCTTCCTCTAGGGGGTTGCTATTTACCTCTAGACCTCACTGATTTCAGCATAGTGATATGCAGAGTCTAGACTCTTCACTGGCCTTGAATTTTATTGGGCCTCATTTCATTGGCCTAAAGACATCTCTGTTGACTCAGAACAAATGTAGGTATCCACATGTGGTAAAACTATAGACACATCCACCTGAGGTGTCCTATTATATTTTGAATATTTGGGTTAGTGTGTTCCAAAATCTGCAGGACAGGATGGATGGAATTCCACCTTATAATAATGTTTCCATTTTTCTGAAGGAGAGAGAGAACCAACACTGATAGCCAAATCTCCAATGCTGACTGTGCACAAAGCTATTAACTAACCCATTGCACACTTTAAATTTGTCTTGGCTGCCATTTCCCTTGCTAATGTAACTAAGAAGACCACCTATACATTAGCAGTTTTTGATATTTATTTGGTTCAATAGTTGATTCATGTATCCAGGCACTACTATGTGTGATTTCAGTGAAGACAGAAGAAAAAACAAGGGGTGCAAAGGTGCCTTAAAGCAAGAGCACTAAAAGTTCTGTCACACTATATGTATTATTATCTTGAAATGGCAGCACTACAATCAATAGTTAGAAGTATCCTCAATGAGAGAGCAATGTAGATCAAAATAAAAGCAATACTAACCCTTAAAATAAGAGTAGAGAAATATGATAAAGTCTTGTTTCCTCCATGATGTCTACTTTGCAGCTCTTTAAGTGTGTCACCCATTTTGTTTGGGGCGTTTCTAGCTATTCTGGTGCCCAGTGCATGGGCATCCAGTTCTGGAAATTATCCTTCCCATGAGCAAATGCTGTAGCTTCCATAGATTCATCTGTGTTCTGATGCTAAGTTACTTCCACAGTGAGACCGTTGGGGTCTTTCCTATGGTCCCCAAACTGCACTGCTGCTGCTCACCTGTGTGAACACTACAACAAATGTAGCTGCCTCATCCAATACATCCAGGAAGCTGGTTTCCTTGTTCCTACAGGTACGATGGGCTGTCCCAGAGCAAAGAAGATCCCCACCTGGAGGAGCTTTTCAGGCTGGTGATATGGCTGACAACTTGTGGACAGTCAGAGCTGAAGGTGTTTGACAATGTCACCTACCCCCAACGTGAAGGCTTCAAGTTCCATCATGAAGCTCCTGGTAGGTCCTTCTTGTGTTTCTGACCTACAAGCTACAATTGTTGAGTTCAAATGAAACCACACAGTTCTTTCCTCAAATCTTTGTACATAAAAATACAAATCCAGCCCAAACACAATATTCTGCAACTGTCAATGATCAATATGGTCTAATTCTGTTGTAACATTTGAAGAAATTACCTATAGATTTAAAATATCTTCCCCACAGACTTTTCCAGATACTCACACAATCAAAGATTTTTGTCTTGGATAAGACTAAGAAGAACTTTTTACTTAATAAAGTAAAATATAATAAACTCAAGTAACAGAGGAAGCCTCCATTATTATCTACTTAATATGTCCTATTGTACGACTTACTGTGTAATTTTTACTTATATGATGGAAACAGGTGGCCTACAATAGCCACCCAGGGTCAGAGTCACTACTTGTTCAGCACTTTGAGATACTGACTATTGACTGATTAATCGAGGACCTCAAACATTATTCATTTATGCTTTCTGAGTGTGAACAGGGTAGGTGTCTGCTCTCAATAAATTCTTTTAACCCAAACCCAAACCAAAAACAAATCTACTGCCATCAAGGCAATTTCAACTCACATAACCGTTATCCAGAGCAAGGTAGAACTACCCCTGTGGCTTCCCAAGACTGTAAATCTTTATGGGAACAGATAGCCTCATCTTTCTCCTGCGGAGCAGATGGTGCACTTGAACCACTGACCTTACAGTTAACCATTCACTACTTAGCTCATAGTGCCATCAAGTCTCCATTTAACACCCAGAGTGCTGGAAAAGGAACAAATAGAACACAATTAAAGAGAGTGTTGACATATTGTGATAAACAAAAATAATGCCATGGGATAATTTGTGCAGCACAAAATGTGCACTGAATAAATTGATAAATGGGAACCCAAGCTGCACAGCAATTGGCTCAGTAAGTGTTGGGTTAATTAGGAAGGCCTACACAGAGAACAATATATTTATTTAACAGCTTTCCTAGAAAAACACCTGACTTTGGCTTAATTTTAAATGTCATTTTACTTTAATTGATTGAAAACAACCCACTAGCTCAGGGGTTGGCAAAATGTGACTCGCAAGCATATGCAGCTCTTTAGGTATGAACAGGTGACTCTGAACTAAAATTGTAAATGAAAATGAAATTATTCTTCAAATAATGGTGATTTTATTTATTTGAAAAATATATTTATGGCTCTTGAATATTTTAAAATTGTTGTGAAGGATAAAATTGGCTCTTCCATATCAATAGTTTGCTGATCCCTGCTCTAATCCAATGCTGTCTAATGAAAATATGTGAGCCCCATATGTAACCTTTTATTGAGTTGTTTTTTTCTTTTTGTGTGTGCAGGCACAGCAGTTTACATAGCAAATAAAGTTCCCATTTATCAATTTATTCAGTGCATATTTTTTGGTGCACAAATTATCCAGTGACATTATTTACATTTATCACAATATGTCAACATTATCTTTAATTGTATTCTATTTGTTTCATTTCCAGTATTCTACTTTCTCTGCCCCCTTATCTATTCATCTTTGCCTTTCAGTAATTGTTGGCTTTTTACTCTCTTATTGATGGTTCTAAAGTAAGGAAGTGATCTTATGTATAATATCCTTATTTGTGTGCTACTCTGCTATTTCGCTAAAAGATAGCTCAAATTGAGGCTCAGTTTTAGGTTTAAAAGGTGTTTTAGTGTGAGAGTCTCAGGGAGTCTTCTGTCCTTTACTGTTTCTGCTTGTGTGTGTGTGTGTGTGTGTGTGTGTGTGGGGTGTTTCAATAAGAATTTGAGTTCTACTCTACATTTTCTTCCATTCTATCTGAACCATCAATTGGCTATTGGTTTTAAGTTCTTAATCTCTTAGTGATCTCTAATTGAAAGTAAAGTGCTGTCTTAAAAACTACTTCAACAGAGGAGATCTCACCTCAGCCGGGGTCAATTTTAAAGATGCAGGAAGAGGGAGAGAGCCATTCAGTTGCTGTCATACAAAATCGTGCTAAGGTCACCCCCAAACAACGGACACTCCTACCAGAGAGATCAATGAACCTTACCAGAAATCGAGATGCAGGGAAGGGAGGAGCATGTATGTCTCAGTGAAGGCAATCACGTGTTTGTTGGAAAGAAAATGGGAAGGAGTCACCTCCCATCAGGAAAAAACCTTTATAATACTTATATAGAACCCAAGGAGGAGGATATGCCTGGTCCTATAGTCCTAATTGAAGAAGCCTTAGTGGTGTAGTGGATTCACATTGGGCTGCTAACTGCAAAGTCAGCAATTTGAAACTGCCAGCGATGATTTTCTACACCCATACTGTCACAGCAATCCCAGGGGGCAGTTCTACCCTGTCCTATAGAGTCACTATGAGTAGCCATGAACTAGATATCAATGAATGAGTGATGACCCAGTCTCTAGCCAGGCTGAGTGACCCAGAATGTGTGCTATAGTCTACTAGAACTTTAGACTGTGTTTCTGAGGCACACAACATCCCTGATAGACCACAGGAGAAGCACACGATAGGAAAACCTCATTAAGTGAAATGGGCTTTACCTCACACTGATCTGTAGCCCTTTGACTTAAGAAGCAGATGACTGCTATCCTGAGAATATATGATTGAATGACTGAATTGTATATATGTATGTTATGCGCCAATAAACCTTTTGGAAAAGTATAAAACTGGTGGTTGGATTTTGGCTCAGATCTCTTGCCTTGAGAGTGCCTAATGAGTGGTGGCCCAGGAGTACCATACTCTTACTATTTTAATGTCCTTCTTGCTTTATTATGACATGTATGAATCTGGCAGGCATGGTCCTGCTCTTGTGAAAGAATATTACTGAAAATTTTGCCTTATCACAAATATCTATTGTTTGTGTAAATTGTACCCAGTCACTTAAAGGTTTAATATGTAAAAGTCAACAATTCACATATTGTTCATAGCCAGCCTCTACTTGCATCCTTTCCTTTTCTCAACAATGTTTTAAATTCTATCACTCATTGCCATCAAGTCAATGCCAACTCATGAATTAGTGACACGATCAGTAGAATTACCTTATGCCCCAGGGGGATTGTTGGTGTTGTTCTCTAATATAAATGATAATGATTTCTCTAAAATGAACAAGAGAAATCCATACACCACAGATATGTGAATGGATTGGGGGCTTCACTTAATTCTAATCCCAATGTAATCTTATGGCATGGCTTTGCTTGACACATGCCCTCAGGAAGAGATCACTGAAGATAAGAGTGCTGTAGAAAAGTGTGGGGAAGAAAGTACATGGTGCTCAGCTATTAGAAAAAATAGTGTCTAGGGTTTTAAAAGGTTTATCATCGTACAAGGGAGGCATTAAAAGTTCACATAGAAGAAGCACACCAGCTTCTGTGTGATCTAAGGTTTGTAAATAATAAAATCCAAATCCAAACGACTAATTGGTATCAGAGTCTAAATTGTGACCACCTGGTTTGCAGAAGGCTATGGTTGCCTTCTGACCTACAAATTCGGGGAAGAAATATGCTCTGACGTTTGTGAAAAACCCTTGCTTGGTATATTATATTGAGCTTTTTGCTTGCTCTTTGCCTAATTCTCTCCTTGCCTCTGAGCTGTAAAGATTTTATTAACTTATGGCATGGAATTGATCTCTGTTTATCTGTCCTGATTGGGATTTATGTGGTTTCCCGCACCTGCAGGCTTAGCTCTTGGTGCAGGTTTGGGAAATGCTCTCTGATGATCTCTTAGAAAATTGTTCCTACATCTTTATCATTGTCATGATCCTCTGGGATTTCATTAAGTCAAATGTGAGATTTCTTTTAAAAAATGATGACAATTTTATTTAATTATTTTAGAATATTATTTTTTTATTAAATACTTTTATTGGGGCTCTTACATCTCTTATCACAATCCATACATTCATCCATTGTGTCAAGCACATTTTCACATATGCTGCCATCAACATTTTCAAAGCATTTTCTCTCTACTTGAGCCCTTGATATCAGCTCCTCATTTCCCCCCTCCCTCTCACACCCTCCATCTCTCATGAACACTTGATAAATTATAGATTATTATTTTCATATCTTACATCATCCTCTGTCACCCTTCACCCACTTTTCTGTTGTTCATCCCACTGGGAGAGGGTTATATATCAATCATTGTGATCAATTCCCCCTGTCTCCCCCCACCTTCCCCATATCCTCCTGGCATCTCTATTCTCATTGTTGGTCCTGAGGGGTTTATCTATCCTGGATTCCTTGTGTTGTGGACTCTTATTGTAGCAATGTACATGTTCTTGTCTAGTTCGATTTGTCAGGTAGAATTGAGGTCATGATAGTGGGGGGGGCGGGCAGGGAGGAGGAAGAAGCATTAAAGAACTAGAGGAAAATTGTATGTTTCATCGGTGCTATACTGCACCCTGACTGGCTCATCTCTTCCTTGTGACCTTTCTGTATGGGGATGTCCAATTGTCTAGATGGACTTTGGGTCTCCACTTTGTGCCTCCCCCAACCCTCCTTTACAGTGGTATGATTTTGTTCTGGGTATTAGATGCCTGGTACCTGATCCCATTGATGCCTCATGATCACACAGGCTGGTGCGTCTTCCATGTGGCCTTGCTTCTGAGCTAGATGGCCGCTTGTTTACCTTCAGGCCTTTAAGACCCAAGATGCTATATCTTTTGATAACCGGGCACCATCAACTTTCTTCACCACATTTGCTTATGTACCCATTTTGTCTTCAGAGATCATGTCAGAAATGTGGGCATCACAGAATGCTGGAATATTAGAACAAAGTGCTCTTGTGTTGAGGGAGTAGCTGTCCAATGTCCACCTGCTACCTTAATTCTTAACATATAGATATAAATACATAGATCTATTTCCCTATCATCATATAAAATATATTTACATATGTACATGCCTGTATTTAGACCTCTATAAATGCCCTTTGCCTCCTAGATCTTTCCTCGATTTCTTTTTACTTTCCGTTGGTCCCACTGTCATGTTCGGCCTT